CATTCCCCAACTTATACTGGAGCCTGGGGTTTTGGCAACTGCAATTAAAAGTAGTTTAAGATAAACTACTTCTAAGTCACCAACATGATAAAAGGATCAAGATTCCTGGGCTAGAGTAACTCAGGCTTAATTTTATTGTAGTGCTTTCATGTTGAATTTGCTAGTTAAGAATGAGAGGCACACCAAGAAAAGATTGTCTGTAGTTATGCATGGAAACAAAGTGCAAGCTAAAGACTTAAAGAACGTCCAAAATACAAGAGAGAAAAATGAGTAGTAAAAGAGTATGGGTACTAAACTGTGTAGTTATCAGGGAATTCAACTGAGGGCTTGAGGAAATAAGCTTAGAAGGCTGATATTTTGTGACCTTCCTGATGGTTTAATGGATACAGAGAACATTAGTAACTTGGAGTCTTCTGCTCAAGCAGTTTGTTTAAAGATCAGCTTGAATGACCTTGCATGTGATTGAGAAATACACATCTCTCTCTGGATTGCAGACAAACTACTGGAAAACTGGAAAATGTTTTTATTTGTATTCAAGTTTGTTTTGTTTTGCTGTCTTTCTCCTGGATTAATGACTTCCATTTCAGAAAGATTGCTGGTTAAGAAAACTTGAGATGTATGGATGTTGGCTGCTGTACCTCCTTTGTAGACTAACATCTCTTTTTTGTGAGATAGACGTGCCTCAGGAAATGTCTGCTTCAACTTCTTCAGTAGCATCACTGTGTCAGTTAAAGGACTGAGATGGAGGAACAGTTTCCAGTGAAGCCTAATGTATTGAACCACATCTCCTTCTGGCTAATCTGAGCATGGTGACGTCCTGTCAGCTCTGTTGTCACCTGCAGTGGACCATGGGGTTGGTGCACATAACCTGCCTGATGGCATAGAGCGGCTGATCACAAAGCTTTAACCGGAGAGGATACAAATTCCCAGTTGACTTTGCTTTAAAAAGGGCATTTTACATCTTGATTGTACTCCTTGGATTTTGATGAATGCCAGACTAGTTACTCTGATTTATTCCATTCTGTTTAGGTTCCTGTTCCACACCCACCCCAATGGTATCAGGATGTCTTCCAGACTTCTTACTGACAAAAAACGCTAGAAAACAAGACTAGCATTTGTCAAATGGGGCTCTCTCTCCATTTTTCTCCACACACCTGTCCTTTAGGGGGAGAAGAAGAGGAGAATAGCATGTGAGTTGTTTGAATTTTAATTTTAAAAACCCCCTCAATTGTATGTTATGTACAGAAATTAAGGTTTGGGCTTTTTTTTTTTTTTTTCTTGAATGATGACATTTAGAGTAGAAAAAGGTTTTTTGGGTGGGTTGTGGTGGGTTTTTTTTATTTTGGTGAGGCTTGTAGCTTCTGTCTTATGTGGGAGGGGTTTTTTCAACTGTTTATGGGGAAAGTCTTGCCTTTCAAGCCAAAGATTTCATGTTGACAGTGATTTTGTTTTTGTTTTGGTTTTTTTTTTTTTTTTTTTTGAGAAGTACAGCTTATCAAGACATTCAGGACCATCAAGACTGAATTACTGTTTGGGGATTTTCTTTATTTATTTTTTTCTTCTTGTTAGAACTTATCCTGGATGGGTGAATTGCTTAGCAAGGAGGACTGAGGTCTCTTCAACTCAGTAATTGAGTCCTTTGGCAGCTATTTAAGAACAAAGAAATACCCGTGAAGCTCCCAGTGACCTTTTTCACTGCAGGGTAGTTCTGTTACATTCTGTGCCCATTCTTAAATCTCAGTCTAAATTGTATTTTGCTGTAATCCAGGGAGGAGGTGATAAAGGCTAAAACCATGGGGATACTTTACCATGTACTGGGAGCTGAAGATAAGCAACTGATTCCTCCTTAGCCCAGCTGCATGGGGAGAGATACAAGCCTAGCTGTTGGGGAAGCACTAGACCCTTCCTGGTGGTATGTTGTTCTAGACAGATGGGCAACCATGCAGCACAACAACTCTCCAAATAGGTGACCTGCAGCAGATAACCTGTCTTTCTGTAATCTTGCTTTGGTCATCATCTATCTCTGTATATTAGACTCCAGCTATCACAGCTTGCTACAGGGAGCAGGATATAAATCCAAATTCTGGAGCAGAGGAAGGTGATAGAACTATATACACTTCAGAGGAGTAGACCTAAAAGCATATGGGTTTTAGATATATTTGTCTCACTTCAGCTAACAGTACATTAACTACACTTTATTTCTACTGCATTAATATTGTGGTAGCTTGTTTTATGCCAAGGTCCATATCAGCTTGCAGCAGCAGAAACTTCTGCAGGAAATTTAGATTTTAGTAGCAATCATATTTTAAGCGTGTACATACATGACAACAAACCAAATTATCAAAGTAGCTTCTCATCCTGACAATAGTGTTCGAGGTGAAAGGTGTTGAATTGCTCCTTCCTAAATGAGATTACAGTAATTTTCTGAATAGAATTTAGTAAAATTCTGGTGTTTGTTTTCTCTTACCAAAAAACCCACAAAACACAGTATAGCTGCAATATAGGCACAAAAAGATCTGAAAGCAAACCTTGGAATTTTGTTTAGATAGGAGAGAAGAAATGTAAAGGATTTCCCTTCCCCCCCAAATTAGATTCTGTTTCCTGTAAGAGGAAGCAAGGGATCTACTGGGAAATACCAATAAGACCAGTTCTTTGGCTTCAGGCTTTTGGGTTTTCATATTTAAGAATTCGTTTTTCTGACTTGAGTTTTTGGTTTAACACTGTGAAATACAAGCACCTGGGTTCAAGTTTTCCATCACTTTTTTTTTTTTTTTAATGTTTCTTTTTCAGGAAAAGTGCAAAATGTTTCAAATTCCTGTTCAAAACCTTGATAATATCAGGAAGGCTCGAAAAAAGGTGAAGGGCATTCTTGTGGATCTTGGGCTCGACAGCTGCAGGGAATTGTTAAAGGTAAAGCATTTGAAAGAATGTAAACTAGTCTGAAATGTGAACCCTTGAAAAATATGTCACATTTTAGTGTACAATACTCCTCTGCTGTAGATCTTTATGGTGGGATCTTTACTTGAAGGATTACTCATGACTGACTACTCATACACCAGGGGTGGAAGGTAGTGTTTTAGTACATCCCATTGAAAGAAACTCATTTCTCAAGAAGCTGTGTTATAAATGGTGCTGCTTATTCTCTGCTAGTAACATGTCAACAAAAGGGAACAGTACAGCTTCAGGAAAAAGGCTACAGATGAATGGAACATTATTGGTGTACTACCCAGGAACTTTTTTGTGATTCTTTTAAAATCACAAGCAGATGAAGACTCCAGTCTACTCAAAAGCATCCAGGGAAAAACACCAAACTTGTCTTACTGACTTGAAGTTCAATTCTGCATCTTTAAAAAGTATATGCAAGTGGACTGGGGCCATCAAGATAAACCTAGTACTGTTGTTGCCACTTTGAGGAGAAAATATTGGGCAGGAAAAATTGACACCATCGGATTGGCAGGCTAACACCAGCAAAAATGCAAGCACAGTGACTGAACAGGAGTGTGTTTCAGCCAGCTGGTGCACAGGCCTTTTTTGCTGTCCAGTATGTTCATGACTACATGTTGACGTAGTCTAGAGTTTGGATTAATTCTGTATGATGGTACTAAAGTAAGTTAACTCTCTGTAGGGAGGCTGTTGTCTTCTGTGGTGTTTTTTCAAAAAACTGTATAGGTAAATGATTGGGGGGGAAAAAAATGACTAAGATCTACATGCATAACAAAGTCTGAAACATTCTTGGTTATTGCAGTTGAACAATGTTTGATATATCTAAATAAATGTTGTAAGAGCTCAGGGAAAAGTGTATTTATCTAGTGATTTCCATTTTCTTACTGTTTTTATTGGGTTGTATATTGTTTTGTAATTAAACCTCTAAGCCAGAAGCAGTTCTGTCTTGACCCTTTAAAATATAAGTGTTTTGACGATGCCAGTTTTTCTGCTGTGAAATTGATTGCAGCCTAACTTTTTGATTGCAGGATGGAGTTTAATGGTGAATGAGGAATAAGGTGGTTTGTGTTTGGCTGGTTTTTGGGTGTCTTTGGTTTTATTTCATTTTTAATAATTGGTGGTGGTGGGGAACACAGTGAATATTTCCATTCTGGAAAAAGCTTTGAGATGTGGGCCAAAAAAAATACCATTTTAATTTTTTGTAAATAATTCTCCCTCAACTAGGTTCATAACTTCAGTTTGTTTTTTCCAGGTAATCTGGGGCTGGTTTTGGTAAAACTTTCATCAGCCAGAACAATGGTTTTTGAAACTTGATTAGTACTTGGCTCATATGATGATGGTATTTCTTTTTGGTAGAGGAGGGTGTATGATGTCTTAATAGGTGAGAAGTAGCTGAAGTTTGTGTTATCTTATTATTTTTTTTTTTCTCAAATATTAAGATTGATTTCTGGACGTTGTCCTCGTGAGGAAGCTGGACAGTTGCAGAAACTGTATGAAATGATAAGGTACAAATTTGACCTGCCATCTGGTCTTAAAATTGGTCTTAAACTGTTCTGATAAGGCACGAGAATGGACAGTAGTTTGTGAGGAAGGTGAAGGAATTTCACATATAACTAGTATTTTTTTTTTGTAGCTTGGAACCTAAAACCTAATCCATTTGGTCTAAAAGTTCTTACTTGATTTCTGCTGGAAGAAACAATGAGCCTTTTTGTGCTAGGTTACTAGTTTGATTCTCAGAGTAGTACTTTTAAGTACTCTAATGTCAGAAGCTTTCCTTTAGTAAACAATTTTAGCTTCTTTTACGTATTGTGATCTTAATTTAAACTCTCAGCATTTTATCTTTTTGTTCTGGAAAACAGTGATGGTTTTAACACAGAAGGGAGAACAGTTCTTAAAGTGTCTTTCTTTTAAACTTGGAAATACCCACTATGCATTAGGATTAATTAGGAGGGTTTTTGTTACCTTTCCCTTCTCCTTCTCCTGGAAGTGAGAAACGTGGGAAGGGCTTAACAAGTTAGCCCATCAAAGCTTGCTTCTTGGTCCTCAACATGGATCTCTGTTTAAAGCAAGAGTTGAGAACAGCACTGATGGTAGTGAGAAGAATCATTATCTTTCTCTGTCAGTGAATATTTCTCTGTAGGAAACGGCCCTTTTAGCAAAATTATCGAGATTTACAATCGCATGCATTTGGCTTGTGGGAATCTGGTGTTCGATGATGCGAGGGCTGGAGCACCTCTCCTATGAAGACAGGCTGAGAGAGTTGGGGCTGTTCAGCCTGGAGAAGAGAAGGCTCTGGGGAGATCTTATAGCGGCCTCCCAGTACCTGAAGGGGCTACAAGAAAGCTGGGGAGGGACTTTTCATAAGGGCAGTTAATGACAGAACAAGGGGAAATGGGTTTAAGCTGAAAGAGGGGAGGTTTAGATGAGATATTAGGAAGAAGTTCTTCACTGTGAGGGTGGTGAGACAGTGTCCCAGGTTGCCCAGAGAAGCTGTGGCTGCTCCTCCCTGGAAGTGTTGAAGGCCAGGTTGGATGAGGCTTTGAGCAACCTGGTCTAGTGGAAGGTGTCCCTGCTGATGGCAGGGGGGGTGGAACTAGATGATCTTTAAGGTCCCTCCAACCCAAACCAGTCTGTGATTCTATGATTCAAGTCTAGGAGCCCCTCTGGGTGGAGAGCACTCAAACCAAAAGCAGAACGTGTTTGGGATAGGCCATAAACTTCAAGAAGACTCTTTTTAACAATGTATGTGGAAGTCACTCCAGAGTGTTTGGCTGAAGAATTGTTAGTAAATCTTGAGTCTCTCCACTTTCTCTATCAAACATATGTAAGAAAAGCCTCATGTTCTCTAAGGCTGTGGGATTTCTCTTGTTCCATGCAAGGATTCTTTCTGACATGGTTGGGTTTGGTTGTGTTTTGTTTGTTTGTTTGTGGTTTTTTTTGTTTGTTTGGTTGGTTTTTTTAAGAAGGTTTGGCTGAAGGGCAGATAAATGACTCATTCAGTGCCTAGGTGTTGACTAGAATGGAAGAGGTTTGTTTCTTTGACCCTCAGCTCTTCAGGATTCTTCTTGGGGAAACTTGAAGGTTGAAAAAAGCTAGAAAGCTTATTGCAAACTTAGCTACATTTTTCTAAATTCTTGAATAATTTAATCTAAATCCAATTATTACTGGCATGACCTTGTGGCTCACTATAATCTGTTATACCCACACAGGGATTTTCACATTTTCCCCATGTGGACAGCCACCTAGTGCAGACAGAGCCTGCATTAAATAGGATTGTGTATTTGTTTGATTGCTAGAGGCTTTGTTTCTTTTTGTTGCTCAGTATATCCTGTGTTGCTTGTAGATGTCACATAAATATTGCATTATTTTCTTGACCATAGACTTACTGGATTTATGAATTCCATTTCTCTTGAAGATGGTCTAGTCTAAATAGTCTTTGTTACGTAGTTCTGCTGTTCCAGTGGGGTTTGGTGCAGAGGTGAAAACACCTTGCCCTCTAAGCATCTTGTAGAACTTTGAGTGAAGAAACGTCCTCTGTTTATGTGTTTTCTCCTTTTTTTCTTTTTCCTTGCTTTCTGTTGAGGCTATTTTTGGATTCAAAACAGACTGCAAAAGCAGATTATCTCTTGTTTTCTTTTTTCTTTTAGAATCTTAAAAGTTTTGACCCAGGTGAAAAACACTTCTGTGTTTTGAAAGGAGAGCAGCATGTGAGGGGAGAAGCGATGCTGGGTTTCTGTGGGTTAAGCCTGGATTTGTAGCCTGTGTTTTGTCTAAGAGTGTAGTGTGCTGTTTCATTCAGTTTGTGTTTGGATAAGTGTAGGCCTCCGAAAATTGGAGATGAATTTAAGATGTTTTAGAGTAGTAGCTGCCTTTAGCTTGAGGAACAGAAACTGCTGTGATGGGATTGATTAGAAGAACGCTGTAAGGAAAGTTGTTTACCCTGACAGGGTTGTTCCAGATGCAATAATATTGTTGCTTTTACAGCTTGAAGAAAAATACTGCTGCTCTTTGAAATAAGCTTCTGGGAAGGTCTTAGTTTTTCCAAGTTAAAAGCGTAGCAATGGTATGAAGATTTAATACTAAAACCTGTTGCAAAGTAAACCATAGTGGTAAGCTAATAAATGGAATTAAATAGTGAAATATTACAGATTTAGGAGGAGGAAATATCTTTGTGTTCACTGTGAACTTGGCTGGAAGCAGTGGAATTAAAGTGTAAATATTTTCACTCCTCTATTATCTTCAGTAACTGTGAAGTGTTCAGAATTCCTACTATATTACAAGGCAGTCATGTGAACAAGTATTTGAGGTAAAATAAATCAGAGTCAAAGAAGTAATTTCTTTGAACAGAGTTTTGGGATCTGTATCCAGATGCTGTATGGACTTTCTGTTCATCCTCTGCTTGTGTGGTTTTTCCTTTTTTTTTCTTTTTCCTTGCTCTCTGAGACTATTTTTGGATCCAGAACAGACTGCAAAAGCGGATTATTTCTTGTTTTCTTTTTTCTTTTAGAATCTTAAAAGTTTTGACCCAGGTGAAAAACACTTTTGTAACACTTCATGGAGTGATGTCTGTCCTTGGGAATCTGTGGGCAAAAGGAAGGTATGTATATTTGTGTTAGAAATTCTGAGGAGGTGTACATCTGGAGTTGCTGAATTTTATCACTTTCAGAAGTCCTGGGAAAGTTAAAATACACCTTTTTTATTGTAAAAACCCTTATCTTTAGCATCTAAGTACCATTAGTCAGGGAATAATCTTTCATTTCCTCAGTTGATTATAAGAACTGTATATGCTGCTTGCTATCTTTAAGGATACAGCCTTGAACGTTGGTATTTAAGGTGTCTCACTCATATTCTGCCTTTTTAGCCTCATCTGATGTGTAATCTGAAGGTGCTCTTGTATACAGCGTGCTTCTTGTTTCATTTGGAAGGGTGAAAGTGTGATCGTGTAGATGCGAGTGGACTAAGCTGAAATTATCACGAGCAGCTTGGGGATAGGGTTGCAGTAGGAAGCATACTCCTGTTGGATTTGTGCCTGTGAAACTGCTTTTAGTTCTCTGTAGCTGGAATCTTGTGTGAAGCTAGAATCTGCAAGAATGGCAGGGTTGAGTTCAACAAACCAAAAGATTGCTATAATTTTACATTCTAGCCAGTTTCTAAGGTAGTATGTGGAGCATAAGAATATAGCCAGAAGAAAAGGTAGTGTTTCCTCAGTCTTGCTGATTCAAAAGGGAATGGTTTAGAATAGTGTGCTGGTGGCTTGCCAGGATTTTTTTTTTAATTTTAATCTGCCTTTACCATCTTTAAAACAAACTGAGGCTGCCAAGTGCAATAGTTGCATTTTTTAACAAAGCTCTTGTCATCCAGGCTGATCTGACAAAGCCACTCAGTCTTTGCCCAACTGTCACTGAGTAGACAGCGATCCGTGCTGCCCTTCAGGACCTTTGTCTGCTTTGTCTCCTCCCTCTCCTTTCCTGAGCGTGGGTTCACACATTTAAGGCTGGAGGTTAATCTGTTCACATGAATTTGTGGATGAAAGAGTCAAATGTGACTTGTTGTTTGACTAGGTCCCTAAAGAGAGGTTGCATCTCGCCTCTTAGCAAGTAAGGCTTCAGTGAAGACTACTTTGAGTTCAGGTGAATGGAATAAAACCTGTTAATGGTTATGATGATATCTCTCCTTTCTTCCACTCCTTTTTTATTTCTTCTTTATGCACTTGTAAAACTTCTCCTTTTATCAGATCTCTTGGCTCCAGTCAGCATGTTATCTGAGCCCTAGCAGGGTTGAATTTTTTTTTTTTTTTGCCTTTTCCTCCACCTTCTGACTAAAGAAAGAAATTCAGTGTTGGGAGATGTGTGTTAGATGAGTAGGGGAAGTTTCCTCTCCTCCCCAGACATGAAACAGGGAAGAGGAGGATGAACACAGAGCAAGTGAAGCTTTTCCTGTCTAAAGCTGAAGATGAAGGAGTTTTTATCTGTCTTCCTTCCACAGTCCTGTAGGAAAAATGATGGACCATTTCAGTAAAATGGAAAAGAAGTAAAAATCATGCACTAGAGAGGGAATCTTCTTTCATCACTGTTGCCTGGAGAGAGACCAGCCAGAGACCTGATCCCTTACTAGAAGGGAGAAATACAGATCCTGACTCAGCTACTCAGCATGACCAGTAGTATCTTGCCCCATCCCTGGAAACATCCAAGGTCAGGTTGGACGGGGCTCTGAGCAACCTGATCTGGTTGAAGATGTCCCTGCTCACTGCAGGGGGGATGGACTAGATGGCCTTGAAAGATCCCTTCAACTCAAACCAGTCTGTGATTCTATGATCTGTATCTGTCCAGAAACCAAGATTGGAATGTGATCTGATGAACTTCAGTGTAGTTTGTAATGTGTTGCTGTGGAACAGGTTTGCCAAGCGATGTCTTTTGAACACTAAACTGGTTCCTATCCATTTTCTTTAAACAGCCATGGTTCCTTGACATGTGTCACTTGACGTATCTCGGCATTGCGCTGCCAGGAGAAAAGTTCTTCAGGATGTTCTGCTCCAAAGTTGTTGCCTTAAGGGGAAAATAAGTTGTTTGAGCTGTGTTGGAAAGTTAGTAACCTGGAGTAGTTGTCTATTTAGATGAGTTGGTGGTTTCTACCTTTAGTAATTCTGGAAGAACTTCAGTTTTTGGAGGCTGTTGTGTCTTTCTGCTTGTCTCTAGGTTGTGGGGAATGTGAGACTACACAGTGGAAGTGTTACTGCATTCTGGGGTATGTTCTCTGGAGTGGGACTAACTGAGTTTTCCTAAATGCCTCCAATAAGCATTTTTGGGTTCCATTTGTACCGTTTAGGGTTGTGTTGGTCCGTCTCCAAGATGCTACATTTCTCCTAAGTGGCTAAGAATTCTTATTTTGTCAGATTTTCTATAAAACTGAGATGCTGTTAGTAGACTTGAGAACATGAAAGCAGCTTGGATGGGTATGCAAGGAGAACGTGCTGACAAAATGCTTTTTCTAAGGTGTCTATGTGCGAGAGCTCTTGTTTCCTACAGAAAATGTCAAAATAGCAGACTTCCACATGCTTCTGTTCTGCTGAAACAGGATTTTGGGGGATTTGTTGTTGGGTTTTTCTGAGCTAAATAGTGGGACTTTAGGATTTGTCCTGATTTGATAGAACATGAGGTACAGAAGGTTTTTTTGGTTTGTTTTTTTTTTTTTCTTATGCTGAAGTGTCATAACTTTTACCTCCATAAAAAAAAATCATCTAAGAAGGCATGGGATATGGTTTCCCCTAGACTTACCAGTGTGCAGGTATTGGGGTAGTTTCTTAGTGGTGCAGTGCAGTGCTTATTTGTATAAGAAGTAAAAACATCATTACTATGGAATGCTGAATTAATGCAGCACTTGGACCACTTACTTGTAGAGGGTTCTTACTGCACCTAACAACAACTGTTCAGACTTGGCAGTGAGGAAATACTGACTGTGTGTTACACTGGGGTTTAGGTTTGTGGGCACAGAGAGACCCAGACCAGATATAGGTTGGGGGGGGAAGCAAAGAGTGTATGGGCCCAGTATTTATTGAACAGAGTGTATGGGCCCAGTATTTATTGAACAGAGTGTATGGGCCCAGTATTTATTGAACAGAGTGTATGGGCCCAGTATTTAAAGTCTATCAGCTTTTCCAAGCCTCAGACAACTAACTGAAATAAGCAGTCACTTCTCTTTGTCACCTGACCTGCTCAGAAGTAAGGCTGGTGAGGTGCAGCTTTGCATAGTGCACTATATGCTTCAGTAGCATCAGTGGCCTTTCTCTTCTCAGTATCATTTAAAAGTAAGATTGAAGCTTCTTCTAATTTGCTGTGGTGCTGTTTGCTCACAGCTGAGACCAGACACCTAAAGAGTGTCTGCAGAGGTTAATTCACAGTGTCGTCTTCAGCAGCCTTAGCCAGCCCATGGCTTTATCTGACCCAGTCTTTTCAATTTGGAGGTTAGACTTTGATTATCATCAGGAGACTGTTCCTAGTCCTGCTTATAGATGACACCTTCATCTATATGAAGCTCTATGAAATGACAAAAAAATAACTGCAGAAATGTTTACTAACAGTTTTTCATCCTGTGTCTGTGACGTGTATGTGATCCAACTCGGCTGGATGCTGTGGAACAGCTTGTTCCCTTCAGGTGGTGTTTCATGAGAGACAGAAAGGTGAAAAACTTCCAAGGGAACAGACAAGTTCCACTCAGTGTTTGAGAGTGCAGATTTGTCACCAGTTGCTGTGACTGATTCTGTAGTTCTTTGGCAGGAGCCAGGATTAACTTCCTAGGGAGTTGGTAAGAAAAAGTGATTGACAGGGCTGCCAGTTTTTTGAAAGGAGCAAATAATGTTCATATGGGTATGACAAGTAATGTCAAGTGACATGGAATTGAGGGAGCAAACCACTGTTGAGTGGAAGATAGTTAAATATAATTTTATACAGTTAAAATATTTTTCTGAGAAGAATCTCTGTGCTCTATAATAAGTGTGCTAGAGGAAATTTCTTAATGAAATTACTGTGATGGGAAGTCTGGTATGCTGAGATAATACAAAGAGGTCATTGCTGCTTTATCATAAAAGGAAGTTTTATTCCTTTCTGTTATTAATCTGGCTCCAAAAACATGTTCTTTAAAAACTGGGCTTTTGTGGCTTTGCTGGAAGAGGTGCTTCTGGAGAGCTTTCAGTGAAGGGTAGGGTACTGAAATACACACAAAAAAAACCCCCTTCTCTCTTCTTTCTTTTTCTCCAGTAGATAGGAAGTGGCCCTGAACTAAATGAAGGTTTAAAAGTGTCAGGTTTAAAGGTCTCCTCTTCCTAATTGCTAAGGCTTTGCCTCCTACGTACAGTAGCATACAAACAAATTCTTCTTAGCTTGTTCTGTGATTCCCATCTTTAAAAACAGACTTCAGAATTAATTCTTGTGAACTGGAGTAGAAATGAACTCACTTAAGACTTCTTAATAAATTACAAAGAAGCAAAAAGGGCACATGTGTTTCTCCCTTTAAGTATGTAATCTTTTAAGTCTGCTTTTCAAAAACAGATTTCCATGAAACTGAGAAGATACATGCTATACATCCAGTGAAGGCATTTTGGACAGGTGATAGTGCAGACTTACTTTCAAACAGACAGCAGGGATTTAGGAGTTGGCGGTTTCTAAGCGGATGTTTCTGTTTTGTTTGCAGAGATACAGAACAAAGCCGTACTGCTGTAGCTTATGCAAGTTCTCGTCAAAATTGCTTACTTCATTCAAGAATCACTTGCACCGTTACCATGAGGATGAAATGGACCAAGAGCTGGTGGTTCCTTGCCCAAAATGTGCATTTGCTTCTGATCCCAAAATAGTGGGAAAACATATCCGGATGTTTCATTCATCTAATAAGAGAATACAGAACTATACAGTCAGTATTTTGGATGGCATGAAACAATTCAGAAGTGACATCATAAACTTTACGTGTCTAAAATGTCACTTCACAGACACGCTGTATTACAATATGAAGAAACATGTGCTGATGAACCATTTTCAAAACTTAATAAGTACGTATTTTGGCCAGAAACCTGATGAAAGTAAAAATAATTCTATTGAGCACTACTGTAAAAAATGTAATGCTTCTGCAAACAGCCAAGATTCTTTAATGTATCATGTCTTGACAGCTGAAACGCACCGAGACCTGGAGAACAAACTGCGGTCTGTGATTTCAGAACATATTAAGAAACCAGGACTTGTGAAACAAATGCATATTGCTCCAAAGCCTTCCCAAGACGCGGCAGCGGCTGGTCGGGGGGCCCTGCCACTGCCCCTGCAGGTTCCCTCACAGCTCCACCTTGCATCCAGCTTGCGTTTCCACAGAATACTCAAAACCAGAGTGTGGTGCAGCCAACAGCAGTTCAAAACACAGTCAGATCACTGACTGTTCCAAGTGCCTCTGGTAGCCTTCCGCATACAACTTCTGCTGCGGTTGTTAGCCCCTCATGTGTTACTTTTGTGTCCAGTAATCTTCCTGTAGGTCAGAATAATGTTAATGTTCAGCCATCACCTTCCCAGCCTGTCATTGTTTCCCATCAGCTCCCCCTTAATCAGCCTGTGGGGGCTGGAGCTATTCCTCTAAATCATTCCGTTGGGACTGTAAGTAGAACTGTGGCCCCTGCCGTTCTTCCTCTAAATCAACCTGCCAGGCCCGGGCTCTTCCCAATTAACCAGCCCGCTGGTGCTATAAATGGTGCGGTGGCAGCCCGGGCGCTCCCTGTCCCCCGCCCTGCCCCCCCTGCCAGTCAGCCGGTGGCAGCGGGAGTTCTGTCCGTCAGCCCGTCGCTTGGGAACGTCAACAGGCCCATTGGTCCCGGGGTCCTTCCTGTGGCGCAGCCGGGGACGTCGGGGGTTCTCCAGCTCAACCAGCCCATTGCCTCTGGGGTTGTTCCTGTCAGACAGCCCGTCAGACCTGGCTTTCTTCAGCTTAATCAACCTGTAGCTCCCACGGTTATCCCTGTCAATCAGCCAGTTCAACCTGCAGTTTCTCAAAACACAACTTTTTTGACTACGGGTTCTATACTTCGGCAGTTGATTCCAACCGGTAAGCAGGTTAACGGGATACCTACCTACACGCTTGCCCCGGTGTCGGTGACTTTGCCTGTACCTCCCGGTGGTGGAGTAGCGACCGTTACCCCTCCACAAGTGCCCATCCAGCTAATGCAGTCGGGGACAGTAACTCAGCTGTCCCAGTCACCAGCTGGTGCCCCGTCTCCTCCTGTGGTTTTAACCTCTCAGAATATATCGTTACAAGGCTCCCCCCCTGCTCCTGAAACAAGCCAGGCTGTCAGACAGGCGAAGCAGTGGAAGACTTGCCCTGTTTGCAATGAGCTTTTCCCATCAAACGTCTACCAGGTGCACATGGAGGTGGCCCACAAACATGGTGAAGTAAAAATGGAGCAGACCCCGGAACCTGACAAACTCAGTGAAGTAAAAATGGAGCAGACCCCGGAACCTGACAAACTCGCGGCTTGCGCGCCCTTTCTGAGGTGGATGACGGAAAAGGCAATCCGGTGTTTTTCTTGTAAACGTTTTCTCTTTGAGAAGGAACTCATGAAACATCTCTTGATGCATGGCTTAGCTTGCTTGTTTTGCACAGTTACCTTCCATGACTTAAAAAGCCTCCTGGAGCACAACAAAACTACACATAACGGCAAGAAGCAGTTGCACGCGGATTACAGCAACAGAGGATTCCAGCTAGGTAATGATGCTCAGGGTGACCTTGTATTTCCACACTTTGATTTCACTACAGTGTTACCAAAAGAAGACATTGGTGAAAGAGAATTACATTTGGCAGTGCTCGCTGGCCTCAATTCAAGGACACTTGTTCCTGTTTACATCAAAGTGAAACCTCAGGTGGCGGAAGTGAACAACAAATGCAACAAGAAAGTGTTAACCTGTCCCTTTTGCCTCGGTACATTTGTTAGCAAAGAGACCTACGAGATGCATCTGAAAGAGCGGCACCATATAATGCCGACTGTACATACAATTTTGAAGTCCCCTGCTTTCAAGTGCATCCACTGTTGTGGCGTGTACACTGGGAATATGACTCTCACGGCCATCGCCGTACATCTGCTCCGTTGTAGAAGTGCTCCCAAAAACAGCAACTCGAGCCTGAAGATGCAGCTTGAGCGTAGTGAGAAGAAGGAGCTGCTGTTGGTGAACGGCGACAGGCATGATTCCGTCATCCTGAAAAGGAAGCAGTCGGATTCCTGCTTCCTTTCGGAAGACCAAAGGAATAAGGAACAGCAGGCTCTAGGCTTAAGTACTGGCATAGCTCTGTCTCCAGAAAAAGAAGTGAATTCAAGGGTAGTGCCTTTCAAACGACAAAAGATTAATAGCAGGACTGAGATGAGGAAGCTTCCCTCCAGCGAGGATCTTCACATCCTGGCGGTAGATCCCAAACAGTACGATTACAATTCATACGAGGCTCAGAACCAGTTTTTGACAGACTACTTTCACGAGAAGCCGTATCCTTCTAAAAAAGAGATGGAATTACTTTCCTCTCTGCTCTGTGGGTGGAAAATTGATGTTGCATCCTTCTTCGGAAAAAGGAGGAATATATGCTTAAAGGCGATAAATAATCACAAGCCATCTGTGCTGCTGGGTTTCAGTATGTCGGAGCTGAAGAACATTAAGCACAGCTTGAACATACGTGATGAGCCATTAGATGTGTAAGCGAGCTTCTTGTCAGGGCTGCCAGCCACCCCTCGCCGCCTCCGTCCCGACGCGCCCGGCGGGGCGGTGGGGTGTGCTGGCGGTTGGAGCGGGCAGGCTGGCCTGTGCAGTGATACGGAACGTCTCCTGCAGTTCTGACTGCTCTTGTGAAAGGCACACGTAGTTGTGTATTTAAAAAAAGCTAAAACCTTCAGACCGGTACATCTGGAATTTGTTTTAGCTTTTGACTTTTTCTAGAGTAGTGGGTTGGGTTTATGTTTGGTTGGCTTTAGTTTTTTTGTTTTTATTCTTATTTTTTTTGGTGCGTGTGTGTGTGTGTTCCATTTCCCTTTCTTCCCCTCCAGGCTTCCATTACACTTTTTATACCACCATGTAAAACATTTGTCCTGTTAAAGACAAATTTTATTTTATTTTTCTGCAATGTTGTCATCTTTTCTAAACAATAAAATGTATAATGTTGGTTAAAATACTGAGGTAAACTACGTGAAAAACATCTATTTGATTATTTGTGGTTTTAAGTCCTAACCTTTTTTTTAAGCTGTTTTTGTTTTATCTACTTGAAGAAGTGATTGTAGCCTTTAGATCCATCGCCCCTTCAACTTCCCCGGGCACTGGTAGCAATAAAATACATGGCAGTCTTTTCTTCCCCCCACCCCCCGTCAGAATTCCTGTGCAGGTTAAGTCTGGTGATTTGTGGTTTCTAAGGAATATTAACGTGGTGGGGATTGGGGGGCTCGGGGGTGCCCGTTGAAGTGTTTTCATTACCTGATTTGAAATGGTTGTGTATTACCTGTTAAACAGATCTTGGAACCAGCAGTGTTTACTGCTTTTGTTGGTGTTGGAGCCTGGTTGCTTAAGTACCTGTTGTTCAGAGCTTGGTACCAGCATTTGGTTTTTCTTTTCTTGGTTTTTCTTTTTTTTTTTTTTCTGTTTTTTTTTTCTGTTTTTTTTTTTTTCTTTTTTTTCCCATTTTTTCTTTTTTTTTTCTGGTTTTTCTTTCTTTTTTTTTTTTTCCTCTTTCCTCTTTTCCTTTTTTTTTCTTTCCAACCCACCTGCTTTGGAGAGTGTTGGATTGCTTCGATACATGGAGTGTGTGACTTCTGTGCACATCGCTTGTCTGAAGAAGCTCTCCAAATATCCAAACTATGCACGTACCCCTGAGCTTTGGTGAAAAATCTGATTTTTACTCTAAATCGCTGTTGCGTGAGGTAGTAACTGAGCAAATTTGCTCCTCCCCAGCAAATGAGGTACATGGCTTTGAGGTCCTTTGAGTCAGAAGTTGTACCAGCTGAAGCAGGATGAATTGGTAGCATCGAGGCTCTAAACTGTTGAGTACCCGAACCAGTGACATGCGGGTGGTGATGGGTTTTGTTGGCCTCTAGAGAATAGCGTGGAACCCAAGCAGGCGGGTCTGCTCCATCGGAACCAACACCCAGGTGATGGAAGAGCTGTTGGGAAGGTTCCCTTGAGTTGAAGAACAAACTAGAGTACTGGTGGGGACCTTGTTTAGTACCGTCCTTTCTTTCTGGATCTGCTTGGTTTCATCTGGCTTGTCCAGCGGTGCCTCCAGTGTTCATTAATTGCCAGAACATTAATGACAGAACAAAGAGATCAGATCCATCATTTTTTCTTCCTCCTCTTCATCCCTCTCCTGCCTTTCTTTCCAAGAAGAAAATAAAAGAGCAGACTCTTCTGCGGCTTCCCTTTTGCCAGTGGTACAGGGAAGGATGATGTGCCCAAGCTTGCTTCTGCTTTTTTAAGGAGTGAGCACAGTTCTGCTGTGTGCGGTGATAGGTTCTAAAGCAGAGACAGGGCTGGGTTTTGTGCTGTTTCTAAAAGGCCATGACAATTTCAGCAGAATTTGCTGCCTGAGGTTCTGGAAGATGTTTGAAATTCTATTTTGGATACAGTCTTGATATTTTCATATTGATAACTTCAAAGAATTTTGATGTATATGTAACATAGAGCTGACTTACCCTGCCAGAGTCTGCTCTTTGGAAGAACCTAGTCATTTAATAGCAGTGTTGAGCAAACATCAGCACCGTTTCTGGGATGGTCTGCATGCCCCACCCCAAAGAGCTGGTGGTGAGCGAGAAGCAATGTGTTCTTAGAACCTACTAGCTCATTAAAAACGATAACCTGGCCATAGCAGGGTTCATGAACCAGTGTGGAGGGCTCTGAGTCAGGAAGAGGGATGTTCTGTGGCAGTTCTGAAATCTCTGCGCTCTTGTTCACTGTTAAAACCTTGATCCTGTGAGCCCTGTCATCGCGGGGGTGGTTCTGCTGGTCTGGGTGAAACTCCAGCAGGGAGGAATTTGGCAGGTGCCTCTGGGGAACGCTTGCCATGAAGGGTTCAAGATTGTTCTTGAGATAACAGATTAAAGATTGTTCTACAGGTTCAAGATTGTTCTGGACAGCGTGGCTTGGAGTGGGGAGCTGGGAACTCATTCCAGGTTCAGCCGTGAAGGGAACAGTCCAGTCTTACCAGTTCTCCTACACAGTGTCCAGTGGTGATGTTAAACATTTTATTTATTGGACTTTGATTTCACAGTTCCAAATAAACCAGCTTTCTGACTTTGTTAGGTGTGTGTGCAAATGATTGTCTGTCTCCCCACCCCCCCTCTCCTCTCCTTTTTAAGATAATTGGAGAACTTTCCGTGAAAGTTTCTTTTGGTGCAGAATAGCTGCTAAAAGATGCCACAGGGAAGTTAAGACCTAGAACGTGATGCTTTAGGTAGATCTTGGAGCACTATAGTAATACCTTTCATTATCTCAAATACTGACAGCTAGAGACTGATGTTCTTAAATCTTGGTACTAATTTGCTATCACCAGATGCTCTGCTCTCGTTAAGTGAAGACTGTAGAAACAAAACCCATGAATTTTGAAGTGTGGAAGTAGCGATTGGTCATGGTTTTCAGGAAAGCCAAGGAGCTTGAAAGTAGCCAAGTTAAATCAGTGGCTTTAACTAGATCAGGCTGTTGCTGTAAGCTGCTCAGGTGTGAAGTTGTTTGGTTAGGAAGTGTTAAATCTACCTGGAAGGATCCTGCTGCCCCTGCCCAGGGCAGGTGTGGGCAGTGGGGTAATTGCCTCTGGCACGGACCTGCCCAAGGAGCTGCCCTCTGCAGTGGACTTTCCGAGTGCAAGTCCTTAAAGCACGTGGATGAAGCTCTGGTCCACTGTAAAGGAGAAGTTGGGAGGAATGCTGGTGGGTTTGCAGGATGGTTGCAGCCAGCACTTGTTCCTGAGGGGAATAAAAAATACCTGCATGTATTCTGCTTCTGAAATGCGTCGGTCTGGAGCAGTCTCTGTGTTTCAGAAATACCTTCTTGTGGTGTCTTGAGCTTTTGAGCAGAAAAATAGCACTTGTGAAATAGTGTGATAACTTGCTGTTTGAATTTGTAGTCAGAAGGATTATTATTATAATGTGACTTGGTCATGTTTCTTCCGTGTATACCCATGTGCTGGGAGTGAAGTTAAATCTTGTTTGGTAAACTGACATTTTGGAAGGGGACAAACCCCAAACCACCCTTGTGATGGGTTTTCAGTGCTGTATTTTATGTAGAATACTGCAGTTCACTGTTGCATCAAGCTTTTTTTTTCTTCCCCCTTCACTGTTTAAGGTTGTTCAGGAAAGCTTGGGGGCTTGTTTAAATCACTGTGAAATACAATTTTGGCTTTGCAACTCTCAAGAAATATCTCTAGAAAACTGTAATTCTGCTGCAGCTGCCTGTGTTCAAATGCACATTAGTTAAAGTTACTGTGGGCACGTTTTTCTAGGCAAGATACTTCACACTAAGTAGCAAAGTACGGCTCCATGGAGGAGAAAGCTGCACTCTAACAGGAAGGGAAGAAAAAGACCAAAAAAAACCCTTCAGAAAAATGCACACGGCTCGTTTCAGAGGTCAGAAGAATTTTCACTCCTTCCTCTGCAACGTGTCTGTGAAAAGGCCAAGCTCAGGGTGTTGGTGAGTGAAGCAGAACTTTGTGGTGCTGTGTTTAGTCTGACCTAACACCTCACTCTAGTGCCCGCACGCCTCAGTGCTCACGCCAGCTGTTCTCACGGGCCAGGCAAGCTGTGGTTGGGACTGGTTCTCTTCTTTTACTGAGATCCCAAAACATCTGACATCATCATAGTTGGTTTTGCTTGGAATTTGTCCAAGTTTAACACAGTAGTGAGTTAGAGGGGGTGTGTGTGCTGTGAGCTTACAGTACTGGCCCTGGGTGCTGGAGAAGAGCGTGGGATCTGCAGGTGGCCGGACTCTCTCAATTCCACAGAAACAGCTCTTGCTGAACAAGGTGTTTGACCTCAGAGTGTGTTAAAGATCATCCTACGGTGAACTCGCAGGAGGGTGGAGGCCTCGAGTGTCTCTCCAAGTATTGATCTTACTTTGTTTTGGCTGCTTGTCTGTTAAATGGGAGTAAGAGCAGTTCTTGCCATCCCAGTGTATAGTGTGGGTGAGTATCTTAAAGACGATGAGTCAGGTAGGTGTTTGATGCTGCACCAAGTGAAGTAGGGAACAGCCGACAGCGCGTGTGTGCGCGAGAGCCATCGGGCACAGACATTTCTGGAGCAAGAGCTGTTGTCAGAGCCAGTGTCTGTTCAGTTTACAAGCTCTTTAGAAGTGAAGAAGAGAACTAAATTTGGAGCGAGGTGAGCAGTCTGTAAAGCTGAGTTGCTGTCCCTTTGCCATGTGCGTGAGACAGCGCGTGGCTGAGGCAGGCGCTGGGGCTGTAGGGACCTTGGCTGTACGCGGTGTGGTGTCACACACAGCTAGCGGGTGGAGTGCCGTGGAGTGCCCATCCTGGTGTGATTGCTGCAGTCACTGCTGCTCAGGGTTCTTGACTGGCCTGCAGCAAAGTGGTGTCAGAGCAGCTGTTGTGTGACAAGCTGAAGGAGAAGGCACAGTTACGGATGGATGGAAAAATGCCAAGATGCCAACTGGAGCTGTGGTGGTTTCACTCCTTTGGCTCGGACTTAAACACAGCTGCTTGCTCACTCCCCCTCCCCAGGGAACAGGGGAGAGAAACAGAAGGGTAAGAGTGAGAAAACTCGTGGGTTGAGATAAAAACAATGTAATCATTTAAATAATAATTATAATAATAACAGAATGTGCAGTTGAGTGATGCACAGTGCCGTTGCTCACCTCCTTGTGCCCTACAAGTACCTGAAAGGAGGGTGTAGCGAGGTGAGTCTTCGTTTCTTCTCCCAGGTAAGATGTGCTAGAAGGAGAGGAAATGGCCTCAAGTTGTGCCCAGGGCAGCTGAGATTGGATGTGAGGAAGAATTTATTTCCTGAAAGGGTTCTGGGGCATTGGAAGGGGTTGCCCATCATCATGCCCATCCACATTCTTCTACAGTTAAGTCTGACACTCGTGGCATAAATTTAACATGCATGAGACACAGATTTGCTAAAAAACAAACAAAAAAACCCCCCAAATCCCTTTGAAATGCACTTTGTGTGAGCCATGAATGTATGTAATTAATTGCAGTTAGTTTTTAAGTACTGATTTGAGAGAGAAAGAAAAATTATCCACTGTATTGCAGCATTCTATAAAATCACACGTGTTCGTATACAAGGACACATGACAAAGTGCTTTATTAAAATAAAAAGCTTTAATACTTTTGCATTTAAAAGATTTAGCAGAAAATAATCGCTACAAACATGCTACAACAACATACACGTTCAAAAAGTTTTCAGTGCTTTCTTTCAAAGTTCAGCATTTTGGCAAAATAAGTCTTTCTGTATATACTTCAGAAGTTGGCTATCATAATACTGATATAAAATACTTCATGTAGACTAAAGTCAGGTGCATAAAATACAATAAGTAATAAAACATAGTGTTTGTATAAACATTTAAAGTATAAATTTCATTAGATAACATGCAAATACTGCAATATTTTAAATGGCACTTTAAATATAGATACTGAGATTCTTTATAATTTTGCATCCAAGAGGAGATTCTGAAATGTACAAAACTATAACAAGAACCTATTTCTTCATTGAAGTCAGGTACTAGGATAGAGCTTGATTGTCATTTTTACAAGCATTGAGCCCCACGTCCTGGAAATCTTCACTCGTCCAAGTAAAGACATCTCCTGCAGTAGGCCCAGGGCTAGTTAGTTTTCTTCATAATAAAATAGGAAAGTGTATTTACACGAGAATAAACTCTGACATTTTTGGTAATTAAGTAGCAGCAATTTGTTTCTTCCAAAAATGATGTTTAAAAATAGGTGCGTGCTTTTAATTTCCACTGATGTGCAGCTGAATAATATAAAATTAACATTCTTCAATAAACTCAAAACACTATTTTGTTCATTGCTGAAAAAAAAACCAAACCCCTTCTCGCAAACATCCTCAATCTGTCATCTCAGAACCTTCCACGGTATTTTGATGTTTCCAAGATGAATGGAAATCAATCTAATTGTGCTGAAACAGTCGTCTGCCTAGTTAATGGAGACAAGATTCATCTTCTCACATTATTCCAAATACTTTTAGTTCTTCATTTAGAAATACCAGTTCATCACCTCTCCTACAATCTTTGTTTTCTGGTTCAGTGATCAGCAATTCCAATGTCCTTCAGGATACAGAACCCTGCAATACTTGTGCGTATTTTCTAAGCAGTTACATGGAATATATGAATCCTGACAAGGTGAATAAAAGGCTGATGCCCAGGGAGTGCAGAACAGGCAGCACCGTAACAGAAGGAGAGGAAATGCTGAAGGACACTTGCACTCGAGATGCGATTAGAGCCGACAGCGGCACATGCGATGCTAACGTTGGGCTGTCTGAATTTATCAGTGACTCTATCTTTTCTGCTTCTTTATTGCAGGCTTCAATCTAAGAAAAAAAACAAAACCCAAAAAGTTACTATTTGTCTTCCTGCCACGTAAAATGCCAATGCAAACATGTTGCTAGAGAGCAAAATTCAGGCCAAGCAGCAGCAAAAGGGCTTCCTTTTGGAGGAAGCTACATCCAGATTATCGTGAGTGATGTGCTTTGATGTGCTTGTTGATGCCAAAAAGCTCATGGCAAATTCTAACTGAAGTAATTACCTCTGACAGGGAGAGCTTCCTGATGGACCACGATACTGCCTGGGAGTCTGTGACAGTGGAAAAACCAGCATTTCCTACTGAGCAGGCTTTTTCTTCCCAATCAGGGGAAATGGATTTCTTTTACTGCCGTTCTTCCCGTAATACAAACCTGAGACAACCCAGGTTGTCTGACATGAGAATTAGGAATTTATGTCAGAAAATCCATTTTTTCCACCTTACCTTCTGGTGCAACCCAGAACTCTGTCTCTAACAGTTTTGGAGTCTGGAGTTTTTGGAGTCTTTTTTGTCAAGAGAACTCTGTCTCTAACAGTTTTGGAGTCTGGTGAAGTTTTAACTTGACAAACTTAATCTCTGGCTGCCCAAAGCTTTGAAAGTTGAGGAACTTCTAGCTCAGCAAGGGGTGTCACGTCAGCAGAGAGATGAGCAGCTCCTCCCTGGTTGCAGGTGGCCTCTCTGATTTCAGAGAGTCCTCCTCTCCCCAGGAGCCTGACAGCACCTGCTGCAGAAGGAGCAAGAGCTGACCACCTTGACAAGGCTCAAGACCTTGTTTCCTAAGTCCTGGTAACACTTTGGGCGATTTCTGCTGAAGCAGGAGACAGCAACTGGAGCCAAGTTGGAACTAACAGCGTTTCTCCAGCAGCGTGGGCAAGCAAAATACACACACATGAGATCTGCCTGAGACCCAACCACCCTATTAGCTACTGCAGGTTGCCAAGTTCATGGCAGTGATTCTACCCCCTCACACTGCACCATAACTTCAGCCCATCCCAGAAGCAAGCCTGAGCATCAGACCAGAGAAATAAAATGGCAAAGCAGCCATCAATATAAATAAACATCAAAGGAAGGAACCTGCCTGCATTCTGTTTGTGTTCTAAAAGAGAGAGATTGTGGGCAGGTTTTATCTCCCCTTCTTTCTCCAAGCTGAATCCTTCATTTCCCACTAGTGCACAGCACCATGTCGGGTCACAGAACGAACTGCTCAGAGCCCCTGAGCTGCCAAGGGACATCATTATGAAGGGCTGGCAACAGGGCCAGGCAGGGCTACTGGGAGCAACCCTGTTCCTTTTACCAGGAGGGAGAGATCTGCAATGGTCTTGCACAGGTTAACAAGCAAAAAGTGAAAAAAACCCCCCCAGCTCCAAGCCAATACTAATGCAATACAGAGCCAAAGCCTTGCTCCCATCGCCCTCAACTGCTCCAGAGAAAATCCTCTAAGAACCTTGAGCTGCCCTTGTTGGTTGAGCGTTGGTGAGTGTTGGGTTCTTGTCTGCCAGCATGAACCAGCTGTGACACGCGAGCTGAGCAGCTTACTGGAATGTTATTTCCTTTTTAAGGTTGTAATAGCACTTTGGGATCTCCCAGCACTTTTCACCATAAGGTGGAAAGGACTATCGAACCCAGGATGGGCTCAGAATAGTGTTAACAGGTCCTCGTTGGTCTGAACTGCTGCTTCACATCACAACACGCGCCGTGTGCTAATACGATATCGATACGTACGACGTGCTTCAGCCTGATATCACATAAACGCCCAGCTACTTCTAACCTTGATGCTGGAGACAGAGGAGTATCATTTCATGCACAAATATACATTTAATATGCAATTAATATTAACGTAAGAGGCCACTCAGTAATGTATTTATTTTCTCCAGTTCCTATTTTAGCCATAGAAAGTTGAGGATTCTGCATTTATTATAATTTTAAACCAAAAATAACACGACTTGATCCTTGGCCTTGCTGCTCCTTCACAGCAGTTACCTAATTACCCACACTCAGAAGCCTCTTACCAGAAACGCAGGATTCTCAAGAACCATTGGAGCATCCAGAACACCAACTAGTCAGCTTGGAGGCACTCAAGAAACTCCCAGGGTTTTTCAGCACACAAGAAAATGCACAATTTTAAAAGAGCCACATTGAAAGTAGTGAAAGTGTACACGTATGAAAGGGAAGGAAATCCACGCTGGGTAAACTAAGTAAGAACACAAGTCTACCTGCAGTGGTTTGGGGTTCTGATCCACGGGGATGATGAGAATCACAATTTCGGACTCTATGCTCAGGTATCCAAACACATCGCACTGTGGCACCGAGACGTGCAGCCGGATTTTTTCAAGTATGTCAAGTACTGTGATGGGCTTTTTATTTGTAACCTGGAAGAAAAGGAAGAACTGAGTGGATGATGTGATATTACGCACAATTGCATTTCTCCTCTTCCGTTTTAATAACTGAAAATTGATTTCAGCCATTAAAATACTCAGTTCTAATCTCTAGCAAAAAAAAATCCCAAACCAAACCTTCAAAAAACATTAAAAAAATGAAAGGAAGAAGGGGAAAAATGGATTTACTTCTTAAATGAACCATGGCTTTGCTAAGTGTTGTTCTCCACCTTCATGGTTAGTGTGTGTATGACGCACCTCACAGCAACGTAAATGTTTATCATGTTACAGAGGCCGTGCTCTGTGCTGGGAAACACGAGGCAGAGCAGCTCTTTTACCATCACAGAACCTCTTCCAAGAGCCACCAGAAATGAAGAGCTACGGCTTTGTGAAGACAGAGACATCTCTGTGTCTATAGCAACAGGTGACATCTCAAAACCACTACGTAACTACCAGGTAAATATATTTTTCTCTTAAAATTCTTCTCTCTGTTCTGTTGTCTGTATCCAATAAACAATAATTTGATTGCAGATGCTCAGTCTGTTCCAGGACTGCCACACTTTTCCCTTCGGGATGTGTTGAACAGTACAGACACCAACACGGACACTTCACTCGGGACTTCTGCTCATTCTGTTTTCCAGCTTTAGCTGCCAGAAATCCATCCTTCTCATCCTATTGTAGCTCCATTTCTTTTAAGACCACTGGTACAGGACCTTAAAAAATGGAAATCTGGGAAATCCAAGTAGACGACATAAATCAAATTTGCACGATGTCACACACCACTTTGTCTACCAGATCTCTGAGGTATCTCTTTGTCACAGCCCCATTAAAATGTAGTCTGACTTGCTGACTCATCAGCAAACCTGTTCAAACAGTCTTAAACCAGAAGCACATGGATACTGTACGGGTGAACCAGTGGCCAACTTGGATTTTAATGCCTCAGATGAGAAATCTGGTAGATTAGAAGAGAATTTCAGCGTATCTATCTCCAACGTTTCCTTGCTCTGTGCAGACGCTGACTTTTGTTTCTCACTGTCTTTACAAAAAAGGCCAGAGGGGTGGGGGGAGAAAAAAGAAGTCTGATGTATGGCACTCTTCAGTAATTGAAGCAGTTTTGTCTCATATGAGCCACCTGTCTGAACTAAGATAAGCAAAGAGGACTGCTGCTCACCTTCCTGGGTTGGCTAAAGCGTCCACTAGACTTGTGTCTGTGGCATTAGGTGAGCAAGAGAAGAGAAAGTCAAGCCCTTGTGGTGACAAGCTTGTGTCTGTGGCATTAGGTGAGCAAGAGAAAAGTCAAGCCCTTGTGGTGACAAAGGGAAGAAAAAAGAGGGGAAAAAAGAAGAAAAAAAAGCAACTGCTAAGTACCCTAATTCAGGTTTGAGGGTACTTAGGTGAGAGAAGAGCAGTTATCACCAACTACCTGAACAACTACTTGAGCAAATCCAATGCATTTCTTTAACCAGAAAGCCTTCTTCTAACTAAAACTAAAAGTTACTTTACACAGCCATGTGTTGTATGTTCTGGGAAGTCATCATCCCCCTTTACTGATGCCCCCTCCTCTTCCCCAGGCCACCCTGATGAACTGGAGAGAGGCCATCAGTGTTCAGCTTGTGGAATCTCCACTCCTGGAGGTTTTAAAAACTCAGCTGGCAAAGCGGATCTAACTGGAGTTAACCTTGCTTTGAGCAGGGGGTTGGACTAGATGATCTCCAGGGGTCCTGTTCAAGCTAAATCCTTCTGTGTTTTTACAATAATAGCTCATTATTTCTACTTCTAAATATATAAATAGGTTAATGTAACTTTATACTGTTTTGACAGTATTCTCTTTCTTCTTGATATTTTAAAAAGATTAAAATCATGTGCAGATGCAAACATGAATTGTTTTGCTTCACCAGGCATGGTTGTCATGTTACTCTATTTTGGTGTGATGTCGTGCCAAAAATGAAGCGTTCCGCTCTGTTCGTGTCCTGAAGCACAAAAGCAGAGGTCAATAAGGTGCAATCCTTTTAGACACCACATGGGAACTCTGGGCCTCGTGTGCTTTGTTCAGTGTTAGACAATCAACATCAGAAGATCCATCTTACACGGGAGGCAGCGAGGAAGGATGCTGGTGTCTAACTTAGGGAGATGATGTGAAATTACAATCCAGCATTGCAGCTGATGAACAACAGAACTGGTGACAACTATCCAGATGACCCCAAGAGTGTAAAACAGTCTGATTTAAACATAAGACAATGTCAGAACTAAGTTACCTCCATCAGGAACCAGTGAGCTGGCAGAACAGTCTGAACAAAAGAGCTGTAAGTAACAAATACTCCCTGAGTTACTGCTGTGAGACAGGGGCGGTCCCCGTATCATTTCTCTTTACTATTACAAGTCATTTAAACTGCAAACCTGAACGTGCTTGTTTGTGCCTACTCCAATTCTGGTTTGATTTGCACTGTAATTCAATTTCTATACCTGATATTAAGAAATAAACAGCATAAAGAAAAAAAAAAAAAACAAAAAAAACCCCAACTCACACACTGTCTACTGAAAAATAACTGGGTTTGTAACGTGTTTTAACTTTTCAGGAGTGTATACATAACTTTTCCATGTACCATTTAAGAGAAGGCATGGTTAAACTGTTTACCCTTGCAAAAGTATCCAGCTTGTCTTTGTCGTATAAGATTCTCAGCATTCCAGCACACAGCGGACAGCAGGCTCCTGCGTGAATCAAAAAACATCTCAGAAATATCTCAGGTTTTCGCTTTTAAGTAAGCAGAGGTCAAACGTTGAACGTTAACCGAGAACGAGAACAGCAAAACTACCAAAGCAAAGTAAATCTTTCCATTTGATAGCAGAATTGCACACATTCCAAGATTTTTTTTACTGTTGAAAACATTTATAATGCAAAAGCAGTCACCTGTCAGCACACATTTACTACTATCCACACGCAGTGACAAGATGGATTTCCCTTTCTCTCAAGATGATACGTGATTGTCAGATAAAACCACAGGCACTTTGTGTACTACAGGCCAGGGATCTGTACAGATGTGTGCATATGGTGAATTTCAGGAGCTGAAATAGCTCTGACATGACAGAAGCAATTATGCACTTTGCAAAGGATTCCTGCAGTTGTACCATGCTGGAATGTTTATATCCTCAGGGGGGAAAGGACTTGTCTGATGGATTCGTGTTTAACACAGAAGCATGTCGTATTTCTCACACTGTTTTTCCTCACCATTTCAGAAACCAAAGGGCTAATATTTCAACTTTCTACCCATGACTGTATATTTAATTCACCTTCCCAACTTATTAGATATAAATCATGTTCACAGAGTGACTTTTACAATATTAAAATGTAATACCAAAGCACAAAGTCCCTTTTTCAAACCAGCGAATGAGGGAAATGCATAAAACAGTTTCTTTTTTAAAAAACCCCGAGCTTTCCTTGCTCTGTATATTACCTGTGATTAGTTATTGTTTCATAAAGGGAGTGTTTGTGAAAACAATTAAAAACCAGTTCAAACCAGCACAACTGCAAAACTACTCCCACTGGCTTCCCCTTTCCCAGTAAATACATATGGCAGCTTACTCTGTCTTCTAATTAAATAGAATCATTGTTTTTCTGGGAACTCTGCTTTGATGACAGTTTGGCATTCCAGTGTGGTACCTGTGCTGCCACTGGTCTGATTCCGGGGGACATTCTCTCCCAGACACCACAGACCCCCTTCCTTTCTCCCACACCACTCCTATGGGGACAGCAGCAAGTTTCTGAAGACCAAAGGAGCATGACACCTAAAGCCAAGGCCTTTCCACTTCAGAATTACTCGTCTGAGTCCTAATACTGACTGGTTCTAGCCCTAAGTGAAGATCTCTACTTCATCCTTGCTTTTAGATGTCTCAAAGACATTGTGGAATATAATATTTTAAAGCATCAGGTTTGTTACAAATATTCACCTATTTATACACATAAAATCACAGAGTGGTTCATCTTGGAAGGGACCTTAAAGCTCATCCAGTTCCAACCCCCCTGCCATCAGCAGGGACACCTTCCACTAGACCAGGTTGCTCAAAGCCTCATCCAGCCTGGCCTTCAACACTTCCAGGGAGGAGCAGCCACAGCTTCTCTGGGCAACCGGGGCCAGTGTCTGACCACCCTCACAACAAAGAATTTCTTCCTCAGATCTCATCTCCATCTCCCCTCTTCCAGTTTAAAGCCATCACCCCTTGTTCTGTCCCTCCCAGCCCCTGTCCAAAGTCCCTCCCCAGCCTTCCTGGAGCCCCTTCAGGTACTGGGAGGCCACTAGAAGGTCTCCCAGGCTGAACACCCCCAACTCTCTCAGCCTGTCCTCACAGCAGAGCTGCTCCAGCCCTTGCATCATCCTCGTGGCCTCCTCTGGACTGGCTCCAGTAGGTCCATGTCCTTCTGCTGTTGGTGTCCCCAGCACTGAAGGCAGCACTGCAGGTGGGGTCTCAGGAGAGCGGAGCAGAGGGGCAGAATCCCCTCCCTCGACCTGCTGCCCACGCTGCTCTGGGTGCAGCCCAGGACAGCCTAGAGACTCTCTCCTGTCTGCAGTGAACTCCCAACAACACAATGACCATACCTGGTGCAATAACGGGTTTGCAGCCAGTGGCAGCGAGCTGGGGACATTTAACGAAGGCGCACTCGGTGTGGAAGCCGTAGTCAGAGAGAACCCCCACAGCCTGACAGGGCCCCGCGTAGTCGACAGCCACGCGGTCCGAGTAGGCGGCACAGACGCTGCTGTAGGTTTCCCCGTTGTGTCCGCAAACAGGTTCCACCGATTTGCAAAACGGCTGAAACACAGAGAAATGTTCCCAAGATCAATTTGTCCATGTTACAGACAGAACGCTGGAGCAGCTGTCACATCAGGAAAGCCAAAGGTAACGGGAATTTGCTGTTAATATTGGCAAAGATTCAAGGAATGGGAAATCCAGAGTCAGTAACCTGCCAGCTTATGGATGGGTAAGAAATGCAAAGGGTAAGTACTGAAGGAAGGTGACAGAAAAATGTCAGTTGGAATCTGAGAAATGTACAGTAACACATGTTTTGGCAAACCATAATTTCTGTCTTGTGCTAATGGTTAAATAAAATGACCATGTCATTTAAATTAACTTATTAAATTAATTCGGTTTAAGATTATTATAATTTTATTATGCAATAATGAAAGTATTTGCTTATTAATAAAATTAATTTAGCAACACAATATTTTCTATTGTATTTGTTACTATTTAAATGACTCATTAATACTTTGTTTATTCATTATTTACTTGTGGTTTTGTGTTCTTAAAATCGTGTGCGCGCGCACGCGTGTATTTCTAACACGTTATTTGAGAAGCTGAATGTAATACATCTACTTCAAAAGAATAAAACCCATTACTAGACACCTCTGTCAAAAATATATTTGTTGTTGAGACCTTTACATCTATAAAAAGACATTCCTTGTGCCCATTTTCTCTCAGAAAAAGGTATCTAGCATGTCATTTGATTTAAACACAAGTAAAAAATCCAAGAAAATGGCAATAATAGTTTCTTCCTGTCCCGCTGTGTGTGAGTCCAACGCATCCAAGAGGTCAAATGCCAATAATCTTCAGCTTCTGGACATGGACAGAAGCAAACGGAACTGCTGACTCTTGGCAGACAAAGTATGACTAATACTTTTGTCCAAAGTCTTGTGAAATGACACAACTCATTCCATAATGTCTTGCTAAGGTCTAAATATTTTACTTAATTACTATTTTGAGTAAGTCACTGCAGCTATATGATCGCTTTGTATCCTCTCAAACAGCAAGACAATTACAGTTTCTCCGTTACACACCTAAGCTAATGACAGAGCAGACAGAGCACAACTAAATGTGAGCACCCCAAAGAGTTTCAGATCTTGCAGTCATCTTCCCTAGAAAAGCAAGAACGAAAACTTAAAGCTACCAGTGTCAAAGACTCTGTGAACGTGGATACAACTAGATGTAAAAGTGCCAGAGAAAAGAAACAGCCATGGGTATTCCTTGGATTCTTACTGTTCAAGGGCTGAACATTCTCCGAGTAGCTCATATCTGATGTGCAATGAGAAGAATTATCTTTACTTAACAAGGCTGTTGAAAAAGGGCAAGCAAAAGAAGGTGTAAAGATAGAAAGGCAGAAACTAAAAGTGGGTTAATAGAGCAGCAGCATTCATAATACAGAAAAACCCTGAAAAAATGTTCTGTACTTCTAAGAACACCTCTCAGTTGAGACCAGGAGAAGGTCTCAAAGTAATCTTCCATCATTTGAGAAACATCTGGAGATGAACAGCCTGTCAACAACACAGCCAGCAACTTGGAAAAGAACAGCTCCGGACTTTTACTGGAAAGCGACAGAAATCGCTTGTTCACCGACGCGGTAGGGAGCAGTGGGATGGAAGAACTCAACCTAATCTTAATCCTTCTCAAGGATTAATATTAAAACTAATCCAATCCAGATTAACTAAAGAAAATATTAGATACTGCCTAGTCTCCAGTAAACTTAGATGTAAATAGATCCTGAACAATAAACTTGGTAAACCTGGGGCACGATATACACAATGCTAAAGACTTTCTATGATGGGGTATTAATTTTTGTTAAAACAAGTTCAAACTGGTAAAAACTTGCATTTAACTAACCAAGGCACTGCATAAATTACTGGAAACATACCTCAGTGCAAGCTTTAACAGTGAAAAATAGAGGAAGACTTAATATAAATATCAGAGTATTATCCCCAAGAAACTGTAAGTAAAGCTTTTGATTGGTTTTGAGACAACTGTTAAGTAAAGGAGAGAAACAATCTGAATATAATTTCATGAGAGTATTTTCCATACTAGTTAAAATTACATTTTTAAAGGATTACTTTCAATGAAAACATTTTATAAGCTATAAAAACCAGACTATTCCAAAGTTGAGCATGAAAGAACAAAGAAGATTTGATATTTATTGCTGGAACCGTTTCCTACCTGGCACGGTCCTCGGTATGCTAAACTTTTTCCTTTTTGGTACAAAGTACACAAGTTACTGTATTCCACATTGTCTATGTCACAAACAGGATCTCGTGTCTGGTCACAATTTAACTGCCGTGGCACGCACTCATGCTGGCTACATTCGAACTTTCCAAAACTAGTCAAGCAAACTTGTTTCTTTGGTATGCACCTGCATAAAGTAATAGTAATTTCATTATCATGTCATATGGTTTGGTTTTTTTGTTTTTAAAGTCTCAAAATAGTCAGGGAAAATATTTTCAGTGAAATCTTCTCCAGTGCTTTAGAGCTAATTATGGGTTAGCAGAGCCGCAGGAAAGACATACGATAAAACATTCTGAGCAGCCTGTTTCAGGTCTCATCACAACCCTGGAATGGGTTCACACCATGTTTAGTCAATGTATGGGAACACAACTACAGCTCCCTCTAAAATGAATTTTTTTACCAAGTATTTTTCAATAGCTTTTCAGAAAAGGCTTGGATAAACTTCTACCTACTTTCAAGCTTCATTTTGTAAATGTTTATTTATGGAAAACTAGAGAAAACATGATAACAGTGAACTGCAAGAGAAAAATATTGCATTGCAAAGGTCTAGCTTCACTCTTCCTTGAGGAGGTAGTGAAATGAAGGCTTATGAGATGATACTGTTTTTATGACAAATATCTAATTGGACTCTAGCTTGGTAGGCTCAATGCACTGCATTCAGTCTTGGGAATGACTGCAAACAAATGGAAAAATCTAGTATTAACACCATTTCCTTTTCTGGCATGTCATCTCTCTCC